GTTCTGCAACAGGTCGATATTACAATTTATCATTAATTTTTGTTTCAGACATTGTTTACAAATTTGAAGCTATTTTAAATATGTAATTGGAATCATGTTGTTTATGGTTGCGAGCAACTTATTTTTTTTCATCACTAATTTTTTTTAGTGGGTAATAAAGATTATATTAACATTAAATTAAAAACATTAAAAATCCTCGTTTTTCTTTTTTTTTTTTCAGAAAATGTGTTTTAAAATCTATGTTGTTCCCAAAACTACATAGCATAATCAAGTTACCTATTAACTAGGTTACGCATCTATAACTAGTGCCGCATTTGTGACGTTGGATTGATGGTGCTCTTAGGCATATGATTAATCGTCGCCTTAATGTTCGTAATAAAATTTAAAAATATATATTTCTACACTAAAAACTACAACTTTTCAATGAAAAAAAGAACAAGATCCACTTTTTAAATGGCGCTCCTAAACAGTTGCCTAGATTTGTCTCATGGCAAATGCGCTTCCGTATGTAACTTAAGCTAAAATTTCGGACAAAGTTTCTAAATTTTAAACAAAGTATAATTTAGCCAGCTTGAAAGTGGCATTTTTTGTTGTTCAAAATTTTTCAGACAATACTTTATTTTAAACAAAATTATTTATGCATAAAATATTAATAAATCCATCATTTTAAACCTCAATACATCACTTTCTACAGCTTTGCATGAAAGTTTTAAGGGTCAAAAGAAGTGCACTTTAAAGCTTAAAATCAATCAGCCACAATTCCTAAATGTATTATTTTCTAAAAGTTCTGAATGTGATCTAGGAAAATAATACCTAAATGTATTATTTTCTGCTGATCACATAAAGCTGTGCACTGAATTATGACCACGTGTCACAAATTGATGTTATGTCATGTTCTATCAATTATAACGCACGATCGTATGACATGGTCAATCTCAAATTCTTTAGCATTTTAAATTGTCAATTACATACATTTCTCTGCAGCATTTTTATAACTGTTTAATTTTTGAAATCTTTTTTCAGACACACCTTTTGTAAAAAAGTAAATGTTTGACGGTTGCAAAGGCGTCTTTAGGGATAAACTTCTTGGTATCATCTACTAAAATGCAGATCCACTAGCATATTATTTTTGAGATAAAGTTTTTTTTATGGAATGGTTTTAAACCAGTCTTATAAAACCAAACTAAACATTTATGATAGAAATGAAACGATTATAGAATCAAATTACAAAAAAACCTTAGAGTTTAATTTTGTCAAAAAGCTTACTTATTTCCAGTTGTGCGCCACTTTAAATTTAGTGCTTCACATTTTGCTGATTTGTTTATTTTTTTGAAATAACTCAAATATAAAAAATAAATTTTTTGAATATTAAAATATTTTGATTTTTGGCAGAACAAGCATTATTTTTAATGCAGTATGACAAATCCACATCTTTAGTAGAAAATTGAAAATTTAAAAAATCTATATATTGACCTAATTGTTTTCGTTCATAGAAAAAAATCTCTCCAACATGTTTTTGATTGTTTCTAGAAGTATAAAATAAGCTCTTTCGAACGGTGCAATTACAAAAACAAAAAAAATTTGCCCACATTAAGTTTTAGGGGTTCAAATATATGTTGTTTTAGGGTATTTCACTTTTGTCGCCATATTGGTCTCAGAATAACTTAACATGGCTATTTTTAACAAAGCTGATTTTTTATCCATACCATTATATTGGTACGTAGAACCTTCAGAAAAAATAACAATACTGAAAAACATTTTATTCTGGAGATATGACCCTAAAAAAAAACAAAAGTTTGTAGCGTTGAATTTGTTACGTTATTTGTTGAACCATATACTAAAATCTAGGCATGAAATGAAAGTTGTAATAAATAATTTGCAATCTGCACCTTCGGTTTACTAAGAATCCACGTTTTTAAGATATATAACTCTTTCATTGCAAAAATATAAGATCCCGAAAATAGGATTTTAGCTACTGACGGATATTGAAATTTAGGGAGTCCTTACAAAAAGTACTATAAAATCCGAAATAACAAACATTTTGAGCTGAAACTTTGGCAATGTTCATGAAACACGTTTAACTACATACTGACAAAATTTTATCAAAATCTGAGATGGTCGAGTGGGGATGATTTCGGATTTTGGACCGTTTGGAGTGGAATGGCCCTTTTACTAGTTTTAATGTAAAAAATGTTTAGAAGGAAAATAAATAATTACAGTTTGTCTTTTTTTATTCTTATGCTTAATTTAAAATTTTTCTCCATTACGTCCACCTAAGGGGGCTGAGGCGTGGTGTCTCAGGAAGGTTTTAACTTCTTCAGATTTAAAAACTTCCTGGTTTTAAATATGAAGAAGTTAAAACTTACTTTTGAATAATAGAAGCTTCTTCTTTTTTTAATAAAGGAACAATATTAAATAATTATTTTTAAATATTAACGTTTCTTTGGGTGGTTTGGTATGGAAATATAATTCGATTACTGATTCTTTACGTAGCTACTCCATGTTAGCTGGCTCGGTGAGTTAATAATATTTAGTCCAGTTCACAATTAGTAAAATAATACAAATTTTTTAAAGTGGCAGTTAAAAAATTGATTTATATTTATTACGATAAATATAAAATCGTGTATTTTGGATTAAGAACCATCCAATATCATACTAAATTAAAATGATAAAGAATAATGTACCGTAAAAGATGAAAAAGACAAAGTACATAAACAATTTTTGGATTATGATTAAGTTAAGATTGTGATTAGGGTTAAGTAATTTATAATGAAAAAAAATTCCTAATATGAAAACATTTCGATTAATGTTGTTCTATGCCCACAGTGCCATACAAATATATATATATATATATATATATATATATATTATATATATATATATATATATATATATATATATATATATATATATATATATATATATATATATATATATATATATATATATATATATATATATATATATATATATATATATATATATATATATATATATATATACATACACATATTCCATCAAATGTTTGTAAAAATAAAAATTTTGAAAAAAGTTTTTATTTTCTACGGGTAACACTAAAACGGAATTTTAGTATAAGCATCATCAAACTTGTGCAACACATACAGCGTAGCTAAAATATATATATAAAATCGTTGTTAAACAGTTAGTGATAATCGTTTCCTATAAGAGCTAGTACGAAACTCATTGAACCTGATAGCACGTTTAAGTATTTCCTTACTTCATATCCGCAATATTAATGATTGAGTCTAACTGCTTTCTTCATGAGTCATTATGACATACTTTTATGACAGATTTTTTTTTACGAATATATATGTATATAAATAGTTCCCGATTCTAAAGATGAAAACAGGTTTGATGTACTCCTTAACATTTTGAAAATCTTTAAAGTTGAAAAAAAATGGAAAAAAGTGAAAATTACTACAAAAATATTTTTGTATATTTAAAAGAGAGCTCTTATCCAGCTGGCTTTCAAAAAGATGAAAAAAGTCTGAGAAATGTGTCAAAAAGTTACTGTGTGCTAGGTATTGGTAATAAAAAACCAGGCAATTATTTCATTTAAATGGAAAGTATGTTTGCAAAATGTTTTATAATTTTAGATAATAAGTTAAAGCGTAAAGTGAAGATTTGTGGAAACTTTTGTTATGCGGATATTGTTGTGGGTGTCCAAGAACAAAAAAAAGTTTTTGATGCAGAGCATAACAGTACTTTAGGGGGCATGGTGGCACTAACACCTTCATGGCACTAAAAAAATAATTATGAAAATGCTGGAAAAATTTTATTGGCATAATATTACCGGAGATAATAAAAAAGGGGTAAAGTATTTTGCTTATAAATTAATGCATTTGCATACATTGTTTATCTACATTATCATTGGAGTAGAATTGTGAAACTACTACCGTCTATTTTGGTAAGTTAACATAAAAGTTTAAAAAAGAAATAAAGACATAATTATTTCCGTAGATAAAACAATGCCTTCGATGTCAAACTTCGGGTCAACTTCTTTCAGTATCCGAACCTTTGCATTCCATAAAGGCAACTTCATAAAGTGTTTTTAAACAACTTTCTAAAAATACGAATTTTTTATTTAGTAAATTATACATATCATGTTTACTTTCTTATGTTGCATTATTTTAAAACATCTTGTTTAGACAACAAGAGTATGGGAAATTATTGGTATAGACTTTGCTGGCCCATTTATTGAAACATCAAAGGGTAACAAACACTTCATGAGTTGTACTGATTTATTTTTTAAATGACCTATAGCATACGCTTTACCGAATAAGGAAGCAATACAGTAGTAAAACAGAAAACAGTAGTAAGAGCAATAATAAAACTCGTGACAACCTTGGAACTGAGTTTTGCAATGAGGTATTTGTTATATACATTTATGAAAAAAAAAATTATAAAACAGATATTTAGCGTCATGATATAGATAAAAATTGGTCTTCTGCAAGGTTTTTTTTTTCTGTAAACAATGATTATACAAAACGGTCTAAATTAATGTAGACGTGTAGAAAAAAAATAATTTAATGGAATTCTACTAGTGTAGTCAAACCCATTGTGGGTAAATCAGAATAAAACCTGTTGATTTTCAACAGGTTTTATTCTTTTTGTAACGCATAATAGGGGTCCTTTTTTTTATTATTTAAGTGGGAAAGTGAAAATGACCCCACCGCCATCCCGGTTGCTAATGTCCAGTAATGATAAAATATTTTGTGTAACACCAAATTTTTAATAGCAAATATTCAAAAAAAATTAGATTTTTTTTTTGCCAATAATTAATTAGTTAAACGATGAGATGTATAAGATCTTGGGTATAGAGTGACGAAAAACTGCAGTTTATCATCCACAAACAAATGGACAAGATGAAAATGCGAATAAAATTATAAAATGGTATGCATTGTTTTGTTATTGTTTTGAGATACAATAAAATCATGAAAAAAACATTGTTACTTTAAAATATCGTTTATTAGAAAAATTAGAAAACTTATTGAAGAAAACCAGTCTAACTGGGGTGAGTATCTTGACATAGTTTTGTATCCCTTACGTATTGAAAGGCAAACTTCTACAAAAGTGTCACCTTTTGAGTTAATGTTTGGTGGTCGTTCACCTGTTTGCATAAGTGAGTTTAAAGAAGTGAGTACATTTGTGAAAAAATATGTTCAGCAATCACCTTTATTTTATAGATATAACTTGACATTGTACCCCGTATTCACTTTTCCCATGAAAAGCAAACTTTTTTATTTAGGAGATCAGTATATTTACTGCAAATGTAGATGACGTAATGGCTGAAGTCGAAAAAAAAAAACATATTGAAAACTTAACTAATATAGTCACTAAGGTAATTGCTGCTGCCACTTAAATTTAAAAATCTAATTTTTGAGACCTAATCTTTAATCCTCTATTTGTTTGAACTCTTTTATTCTAATTACTATACTTATAAATTTTAGAACATTGAAGAAGCTCAATTAAAACAAAAAAAGTACTACGATAAAAGAGTTTCAAAAAATATCAAATGTAACGAAGAAAATATTAATATTGGAGACAAAGTTTTACTTCTTGATATTAGAGGAAAAAGAAGCAAAGGAGCAGCTTTTAAGCCACGGGCCTTATGAAGTAAGCCGTATTACAAAAAATGGAAATTTCAAACTGAGTAGCGGAAAAGTTATTATAAAAGGAACCCACAAAAGAGCCCATGTCAAGAAATTTATCGCAGGCACTTGTGATGAAGGTATGCACACTACTGAAGTTTTCGAATTTTTCATTTAACTACATTTATTTTTATTCCTTATTTAATTCTTTTATTTAAGAAGAAAGTAGTTTTATGAAAATAATTGCTATATAACAAACTATTTCTAATTTGACCCTTGTATACTTTATATACAATTATAACAAAAAACGAAGTAGAAATTGAAAAAAAACATTCATCGATGGAAAGCATAAACGGTAACTTGTATTTTGTAACTGATTCCTTTTATATTTTTAATTTATGGTCTATGAAAAAAAATTTTATTGCCTTTTAATTTATAATGGGGTAAAATATTTGTTTTCTTATTTTAATTTATAGTCAAAACATATATTTTTTCATTACTTTATTTTATGGTTTATTTTCAAGATAAGGCAGAGACACCAATAAAAAGCTTTGAAATTAAAGATACGGAAGGTATGTATTAAAAACTTACCTATTTACTTGTTATTCTTAGCGTTTTATTTTATTTACAATTTATTTTCTAGAAGAGGCAGATGATTATATGAAAAGCTTTTCAGTTAAAGACAGTGATGGTATATAATAATAAATTACTTTTACAATTACTTTTTGTTAGTGTTACCTTTTTATTGTAATTTATTGTTTATTTTTAGAGGTGGCAGATACAAAAAAAAGTTACGTAGTAAAAGATGGTAAAAGTAGGAGTTAAAAAATTACTTTTTCTATTCATAGGAGTTAAAAAATTACTTTTTCATTTATAAATGTTAGCGTTTTATTTTAAAGTATCGCTTGTTTTTTAGAGAAGGCAGAGAAACCAATTCCCTTTGTAGTTGAAGATAGTGAAGGTATGTATTAAAAACTTACCTATTCATTTATAATTGTTAGCGTTTTATTTGAAAGTATCGCTTGTTTTTTAGAGAAGGCAGAGAAACCAATCCCCTTTGCAGTTGAAGATAGTGAAGGTATGTATTAAAAACTTACCTATTCATTTATAATTGTTAGCGTTTTATTTTAGTTGTAATTTATTTTTTAGAAGAGACAGATAATCATATAAAAAGCTCGGTAGTTAAAGACAGTGAAGGTATTTAATAATAAATTATTTTTATATTTTGTTAGTTTTAGCAATTTATTGTAATGTATGGTTTTTTTCTAGAGGTGACAAGTATTGCATGTTTTTTTAGAGAAGGCAGAGACAAAAAAAAACTTTTCAGGTAAAGACATTAAAGGTATGTATTAAAAACTTACCTATTCATTTATAATTGTTAGCGTTTTATTTTCATTTGTTTTTATTTATTTTATTTTTCTAGAGATAGTAAATATAAGAAAAAGCTGCATAGTTGAAGATGCAGAAGGTATGTATTATTCATTGGCGCACCAGTATAATAAAGATTTTTATGTAAACCTATTTAAATAATTAATTTAAACATTATCCCACCTGGTGAAAAAATAAGCGTAGAATTTTAAAACATTTAATCTTTAATAAATGCAATAGTCATTATATTAGCAGATGAAAGGCTTATGCTTAAATTTTGATGAAATTATGCTTAAATTGCATTTCATAAATAGGTCACGGAATAATAAAATGTCTCCGTATTATAAACCCGGTAAAAGTCATTATGGGTATATATCCAGAAATAGAAGGCTGCAAGATATACGATTATTCCTTACAAGATACTTTAAACAAATGCCTCAGTGACGAAGTTGTTTATATTTATCTCATAATATTAGTAAACAGTAAGGAAAAGGTATGATTAACTAATGTACTTCATAATAAAATTTTTGTACAAAAAAACAATATTGCATTTTTTTTTTAAATCCATTTTCATTTAAATAAAATTTTAATTCTAAATATAAAACAATATATTAAACGCTATTCCATTTATTGACGCTTTGAAGAGTCGAATCGAAGTACTGTCGCCAGCTGGGCTTCTCTCACTGGATGAATTGCCTATTAAAACTGATTTAATACGAAGAAGGCATAAGGTATTAAAAAACTTTTATTTAAAAAAGTTAATGACTCATTAATTTAATGATGTATTTACATATATATATATATATATATATATATATATATATATATATATATATATATATATATATATATATATATATATATATATATATATATATATATATATATATATCTTTCTTCATAGAAAAAGCTCTTTAAACTAGATATGCTAATATGCTGCATGGTGGCAAAATTCCATTGGACGCTTGTAGTATGTAAAATAGTAAAATTGTTTTTTGTTTTAAAAAGTTAATTTCTTTAAGTACAAAAAGTTTAATTTTCAGTGAAAGGTAGGGTTACAATTTTTTACGGGGAATCTAACCTTGAACCTGATTTTGAAACTCATTCGTGTTTTAGATAATCAAACCAGGTGATAGAAAAATTCACTATATGGACCCTATGGGAGAACAGATAAATTCCATTAAAAAAGAAGAAGTGAAATGGAAGTATGATATTATTATTAGATATTCCTATGTTAAAATTTGTATTTACATCTTTTATAATTTTTTACTAATATGCTATAGTTGCTACTTACAACAAAGATATGGTGTTTCAGAAAAGTTTAAAATCTTAACGTTACCACATGCTATACAAGTTGATGGTATATCATGTGGAGTATTCTGACTAAAGGTAACTTTAAGACCCTTAACTGTAGTGAATATATATATATATATATATATACAGGGCCGGCGCGAGTAGGTGTCGCGTGGGGAGGGGGGGTGTTATTACATTTTGCCGACTTGAAAAAAAAAAAAAAGGTCCTCGTTTTCCAAAATTTGCCGACTGCCATGACGACATTTGCCGACTGTCTAGATTACCGACTAACCTATATTGAAAAGGTCGAAATTTGCCGACTAACTAGTCTAAAAGGTTCCAATTTGCCGACTAAGGGTCCAATTTGCCGACTAAAAATCATTGATGGGGGGGGGGGGTGTTACACCCACCCACACATCACTATCGCGCCGGCCTTGTGTATATATATATATATATATATATATATATATATATATATATATATATATATATATATATATATATATATATATATATATATATATATATATATGTATATGTTAGGGCTGGGCAAGTTAACGCGTTATTATCGCGTTAACGCATTAATTAATTAACGCCGACAATAATTTTATCGCGCGTTAACGAACTTTTTATTTTGAAAGTCTAAAAAGTGAAAAGTAAACTTTTTAATTTAAATTTAATAGTTCATTAAACTAAAAAGTGACAGGGCTGCACAAAATTCATTAAAACAGACCTGTCAATCTTTAGTTTACAGAACTATTAAATTTAAATTAAAAAATTAATCTCCAGATTTTATTATTGTAAAAAAATATATTTTTTTGCTAAGTTTTTATGAAATTTTTTTTTCCACCTATTAGTCTTTACAATGAGTTCATTATGAGTTTCTGCCGCTCGTTTTTTTTTAAGATTCACAAGCTTAGCTATATTTTTCTTTTGTGAAACTGTCTATCAAAGTTTTCGTTTCTCATTTTATATTTTTTGCTTATTATTGCTTATAATTATTATTATATTAATTTAGATTAGTATTAATATATTAAAAAAGTTTTTTTGCATTTTGTATTTTTATGTTTATTTATAGTTTTGTTTATTTATTTTGTATTGTTTCAAAATTATGTAATAATCGAATTATAATTTAATTATTTATAATTCGATAATAATCGAATCATAAAAGAATTGAAACTTTCGTGCGTATTTATGTTATTGCTTCTGCTTAAACAAGCAGTAATAAAATTGAGAAATATTTAAAAATGGAAAAAGGTACCGAAATTTTAAACGGACACTTTTATTTTAAACCTCTTCAACAAGGAGTAGATAGAACTAAAGCTATTTGTAAACACTGCAAAGCGGAATTGTCTTATCATCGGAGTACTTCAAGTTTGAAGTATCACTTAAATGCAATGCACACCGTTGATGCTAACAAATCATCCACCCAAACAAACAGTGGAGGAAACCTTCGGCAGACTACGTTAGATGCAGCACGAGGGAGAACTACAGAGAAACAAAAGAAAGACAAGATAACAAATGCCATTGCAAAGTGGGTAGCTACAAATTGCAGGCCAACTAGTATTGTGGAAGATGTCGGTTTGAAGAATGTTATTCGGATCGCAACGAATGACTGCACGTATGAGCCTCCGCCAAGACGCACCATTGTAAGAAAAATACATGAACTGTATGAAAACGAGAGGACTATAAAGGCAACGGCATTACAACGTGCACAAACTGTTGCCCTCACCGGAGACTACTGGATATCGCTGGGTAACCATAATTATCTCGGAGTAACTGTGCATTACATTGATGAACAATGGAAACTGCATTCACATGCTTTGACAGTAATGAAGACACAAGAAAGACATTTTGCTGAAACGTGCTCCGAACATTTCATTCATGTTGCACAGCAGTGGGACATTTTAAATAAAGTCAGCACACTTAGCACAGATTGTGCTAGAAATATTGTTGCTGCTGCAAGACATCTGCCTTTTGAACGCGTCCCTTGTGTCGCTCACAGCCTTCAGCGTTCTGTCACAGTATCTTTGCACAACAGCGCGTTTGAAAATGCCCTGGCTAAATGCAGAAAGGTGGTGGGCCATTTTAAACACAGTCCAGCAAGTGCTGCAGAATTAGAAAAAAAAACAAATTGAGCTTGGACAAAAGAAGGAGTCGCTTATACAAGACATTCCAACCAGATGGAACTCGACTCTGGACATGATAAAAAGTGTTCGCAGAAACGAACAGCCACTGAGCGATGTCCTCACCACACACAACACAAAAGTTGCTATGCCAACTCCAGCTGAAATGGACAAATTGCAGAGGTTGGAAAAACTCCTAGAACCCTGCAGGTATATTTTACATCATATATTTCTTACTGACTGGTTTGATTGCATGTGAGAGAATTGATGTGTCTGTATTTGTGCGTAAGCATGAACATGAGAACACTTTTTGTGTGTATAAGTGAATGCAAAACATTTGAGTGAAATGGGTTTTATTTTTTGCAGGTATGTGACTGAACTTCTGGGTGGAGAAAAGTACGTTTCATGCTCTGTGGTTCTGCCTGCTTTATGCCATCTCTCTCGGGTGATGGAGAGCTCAGATGATGACCCGGCCTATGTAGTCAAATTCAAATCTATGTTCAGAATAGATCTGGAAACACGCAAGGAAAATGCCAACATTGCATATCTAAAGATTGCAACCGCATTGGACCCGAGATTCAAAGACCTCAAGTGTATACCTAGAGTTGAGAGAGGTGAGGTGTGGGTCTCAATCACTAACTTACTCAAGGAACAGAGGGTTATTGCAGATGAACCTGTGGAAGCAGCAACATCAAAGCCATCAAAGAGAAAATTTGCTCTATTGGTTGCTTCATCAGAGTCTGATTCTGAACAAGAGGAAGACTCAATTGAAAACGGTGTGCGTCGGTACAAAGTAGAGCCCACCATCAGTACAGAGGCCTGTCCATTACAGTGGTGGTCCAAACATGCAGGCTCACACAACAGGCTGGCCTCAATTGCACAGAAGTACTTGGCAACACCTGCAACATCTGTTCCTTGTGAAAGATTGTTTTCTCTTGCTGGTCATATTGTACAAAAGAAGAGAGTTTCTTTATCATCTGAAAATGTGAATTACCTTGTTTGTCTTAGTAACTGGCTTGGTGCAGATGAGTAAGTAAAGTTGGAAGAATGGATAAAATTGTTTAAAGTTTTGACAAACCAAAAGTTATGTTAATTTAACTATGAAAAAATAAATTTACGCTATATATATACTACTTGTGGTTTTATTATTGAATTTTTCGTATTTCTGCCATTAATCGCGATTAATCGCAAAAAATCATGCGATTAATCGCGATTAAAATATTTAATCGTTGCCCAGCACTAGTATATATATATGTATATATATATATACATATATACATATATATATATATATATATATATATATATATATATATATATATATATATATATATATATATATATATATATATATATATATGTATATATATATATATATATACATATATATATACTAGTGCTGGGCAACGATTAAATATTTTAATCGCGATTAATCGCATGATTTTTTGCGATTAATCGCGATTAATCGCAGAAATACGAAAAATTCAATAATAAAACCACAAGTAGTATATATATAGCGTAAATTTATTTTTTCATAGTTAAATTAACATAACTTTTGGTTTGTCAAAACTTTAAACAATTTTATCCATTCTTCCAACTTTACTTACTCATCTGCACCAAGCCAGTTACTAAGACAAACAAGGTAATTCACATTTTCAGATGATAAAGAAACTCTCTTCTTTTGTACAATATGACCAGCAAGAGAAAACAATCTTTCACAAGGAACAGATGTTGCAGGTGTTGCCAAGTACTTCTGTGCAATTGAGGCCAGCCTGTTGTGTGAGCCTGCATGTTTGGACCACCACTGTAATGGACAGGCCTCTGTACTGATGGTGGGCTCTGCTTTGTACCGACGCACACCGTTTTCAATTGAGTCTTCCTCTTGTTCAGAATCAGACTCTGATGAAGCAACCAATAGAGCAAATTTTCTCTTTGATGGCTTTGATGTTGCTGCTTCCACAGGTTCATCTGCAATAACCCTCTGTTCCTTGAGTAAGTTAGTGATTGAGACCCACACCTCACCTCTCTCAACTCTGGGTATACACTTGAGGTCTTTGAATCTCGGGTCCAATGCGGTTGCAATCTTTAGATATGCAATGTTGGCATTTTCCTTGCGTGTTTCCAGATCTATTCTGAACATAGATTTGAATTTGACTACATAGGCCGGGTCATCATCTGAGCTCTCCATCACCCGAGAGAGATGGCATAAAGCAGGCAGAACCACAGAGCATGAAACGTACTTTTCTCCACCCAGAAGTTCAGTCACATACCTGCAAAAAATAAAACCCATTTCACTCAAATGTTTTGCATTCACTTATACACACAAAAAGTGTTCTCATGTTCATGCTTACGCACAAATACAGACACATCAATTCTCTCACATGCAATCAAACCAGTCAGTAAGAAATATATGATGTAAAATATACCTGCAGGGTTCTAGGAGTTTTTCCAACCTCTGCAATTTGTCCATTTCAGCTGGAGTTGGCATAGCAACTTTTGTGTTGTGTGTGGTGAGGACATCGCTCAGTGGCTGTTCGTTTCTGCGAACACTTTTTATCATGTCCAGAGTCGAGTTCCATCTGGTTGGAATGTCTTGTATAAGCGACTCCTTCTTTTGTCCAAGCTCAATTTGTTTTTTTTTCTAATTCTGCAGCACTTGCTGGACTGTGTTTAAAATGGCCCACCACCTTTCTGCATTTAGCCAGGGCATTTTCAAACGCGCTGTTGTGCAAAGATACTGTGAAAGAACGCTGAAGACTGTGAGCGACACAAGGGACGCGTTCAAAAGGCAGATGTCTTGCAGCAGCAACAATATTTCTAGCACAATCTGTGCTAAGTGTGCTGACTTTATTTAAAATGTCCCACTGCTGTGCAACATGAATGAAATGTTCGGAGCACGTTTCAGCAAAATGTCTTTCTTGTGTCTTCATTACTGTCAAAGCATGTGAATGCAGTTTCCATTGTTCATCAATGTAATGCACAGTTACTCCGAGATAATTATGGTTACCCAGCGATATCCAGTAGTCTCCGGTGAGGGCAACAGTTTGTGCACGTTGTAATGCCGTTGCCTTTATAGTCCTCTCATTTTCATACAGTTCATGTATTTTTCTTACAATGGTGCGTCTTGGCGGAGGCTCATACGTGCAGTCATTCGTTGCGATCCGAATAACATTCTTCAAACCGACATCTTCCACAATACTTGTTGGCCTGCACATATATATATATATATATATATATATATATATATATATATATATATATATATATATATATATATATATATGTATATATTAGGGCTGGGCAAGTTAACGCGTTATTATCGCGTTAACTGGGCAAGTTAACGCGATAATAACGCGTTAACTTGCCCAGCCCTAATATATACATATATATATATATATATATATATATATATATATATATATATATATATATATATATATATATATATATATTAAATGATATCTTAAAATAAAGACAAAAAAAAATGATGCAAAATTAAATCAATAGGTCAGAGAAGTTGGCAGAACAGTTTGTGTCGAATTTGTGGTAGTGAAATTGGTCCAAAAACTAAATAAAATCAAAAAAAAGATAAATGGGTAACAAAATATATTTTAACTATTTTTTAATAGAAATTTCGAATAGAAAAAAATACTTTAAATATTCAAATAGAAAAATGTACATTAAATGTTTATTTCTAGATCAAATGTTATATTTGCATTCCGAATCAATGGTATCATATGGGATGCATTGTTTTTAGAAATGAAACTTTATTTTGTTGTGAAAAAATTTATATATAAATGTAACAATAAGTGAAACTTTACAAACTGCAGTAGTTTCTTTTTCTTCAAAATTTTTCGTAAATTGAACTAATTTAAATGTTTATGCACTTAAAGATAAAAACACGAATACGTGAACTTTTTTTTCTTAGTTTCAGTAACTTTTTGTATAGTTATAATACTTTAAGTTGTTGAAAGCCATACATTGATTGAACAACAATACCTTTTTAATTTGTTAGCTCAATTAAATCTAAAAAAAATTAAAAAAGACTGTTTGAGTAATCTCGACATAATTTGCAAATAATAGCTAAAATTCTAAATTAAAATATCAAATCTCTTTATTCAGGCTTCTAGAATATTCCACAAAATAGTTAATACCATTTTGCATAATATTTATATTTCCTTATTGGAGTAACACAACCCCCCAGTGTAAGCTCTATATATATCACATAAAAGAAGCAAAAAACCAACTTAAAATATCACATCCCCCCTATGTTTACTTCAAAAGTATTACATCCCCTCAGTAATTCATATAATACTTCAACCGATTAGTATTTGGAATCTAGAATATCACATCCCTTCGGTTTACTTGGATTGAAATATTACATCCCCCTAAGTAATTCATATAATACTTAACCCGATTAGTATTTGTTATCTAGAATATCACATCCCCTCGGTTTAATCACTGTATATGTCACAAAAAGAAACTATAATTCTTACTTATAATATCACATCCCCCCTATGCAGGCTTCTAAAATATTACATCCCCCAAAGTAATTCATATAATACTTTAACCGATTAATATTTGGTATCTAGAATATCACATCCCCTCGGTTTATTCACTGTATATGTCACAAAAAGAAACTGGAATTCTTACTTAAAATATCACATCCCCTCTATGCAGGCTTCTAAAATATTACATCCCCCTAAGTAATTCATACAATACTTCAAACGATTAGTTTGAAATATTGTTTGAAACAAAAATTCTTACTTAAAATATCACATCCCCCCTATGTATACTTTTAAAATATAACATCTAAAATATTACATCATATGCGGTAGTGGTGTAGTGGTAGAGCGCTAGCTTCATAAGCGAGAGGTTCCTAGTTCGATCCCCACTACGTCCCTGGTAGTACTGCGCTCAACTTGTTTCTCCGCGCAGCGGCCTTGTTCGTCAGGGTTCGTGTTTCGAAGTTATAGAGTTGAGAGAGGGTTTTAATCACAAATAAGTAGCCTCCTCGTCTGTAGTGGCCTTATCGGCCTTGAGGAGGTGAATTAATTAAAAAAATAAAATAAAAAACATCCCCTTAAGCAATTTATAAAGTATTTTAAACGATTAGTATTTGGTATCTAGAATATCACATCCCCTCGGTTTATTCACTGTATATGTCACAAAAAGAAACTGGGACTCTTACTTAAAATATCACATCCCCGCTAGGCAGGCTTCTAAAATATTACATCCCCCTAAGCAATTTATAAAGTATTTTAAACGATTAGTATTTGGTATCTAGAATATCACATCCCCTCGGTTTATTCACTGTATATGTCACAAAAAGAAACTGGAATTCTTACTTAAAATATCACATCCCCCCTATGCAGGCTTCTAAAATATTACATCCCCCTAAGCATTTTATAAAGTATTTTAAACGATTAGTTTTTGGTATCTAGAATATCACATCCCCTCGGTTTATTCACTGTATATGTCACAAAAAGAAACTGGAATTCTTACTTAAAATATCACATCCCCCCTATGCAGGCTTCTAAAATATTACATCCCCCTAAGCAATTTATAAAGTATTTTAAACGATTAGTATTTGGTATCTAGAATATCACATCCCCTCGGTTTATTCACTGTATATGTCACAAAAAGAAACTGGAACTCTTACTTAAAATATCACATCCCCCTATGTAGGCTTCTAAAATATTACATCCCCCTAAGTAATTCATATAATACTTTACACGATTAGTATTTGGTATCTAGAATATCACATTCCCTCGGTTTATTCACTGTATATGTCACAAAAAGAAACTGGAATTCTTACTTAAAATATCACATCCCCCCTATGCAGGCTTCTAAAATATTACTTTCTCCTAAGCAATTTATAAAGTATTTTAAACGATTAGTATTTGGTATCTAGAATATCACATTCCCTTGGTTTATTCACTGTATGTGTCACAAAAAGAAACTGGTATTTTTACTTAAAATATCACATCCCCCCTATGCAGGCTTCTAAAATATTACTTTCCCCTAAGCAATTCATTAAGTATGTTAAACGATTAGTATTTGGTATCTATAATATCACATTCCCTCGGTTTATTCACTGTATATGTCACAAAAAGAAACTGGTATTCTTACTTAAAATATCACATCCCCCTATGCAGGCTTCTAAAATATTACTTTCCCCTAAGCAATTTATTAAGTATGTTAAACGATTAGTATTTGGTATCTATAATATCACATTCCCTCGGTTTATTCACTGTATATGTCACAAAAAGAAACTGGAATTCTTACTTAAAATATCACATCCCCCTATGCAGGTTTTTAAAATATTGCAAACGATTGGTATTTTTATTACCTAAAGTTTTATATCCCTTATGTGTAACATTTTTTTTAGTATTGTCACGCAATACATTACGATCAAAATTTTATAAATATGAATTTAAAATATATTACCATTTTATGCTAACTTCATTTATAGTATGTTAGTAGAAAAAAGTTTTTGTGAATCTCGTTGCGTTTTGTTATATTGTTTATAACTAATGTTTCGGACGTACTTGATACACTTCTAAGTGCAAGCGCAATCTCGTTTTAGTTTTTATGGGGGATGTGGTATTTTAGGCGGATGTAATTTTTTATTACAGCACTCTTCTTGTAGAATACTTTTTAAATTGTTTAAATACATGCATATATATATATATATATATATATATATATATATATATATATATGTATATATATATATATATATATATATATATATATATATATATATATATATATATATATATATATATATATATATATATATATATATATATATATATATATATATATATATATATATATATATATATATATATATATATATAATTCTATAACTTTCTATTGTATGTATTTTTTATAACAAAGAAGAAAAAAGAGAAAGACAAAACAATATGCGCAGATTCTAATAGATTATTTTATAAATAATTTTAAAAACTACTAGGCGGTAAAATTTCAAAATTTTCCGGTAAATTTTACCTTGGCAACACTTCAAAAACGGCGAAGTCCGATATCTTAATATCATTGCCCTCGGTGCATATTATTTACCTCTATCCAATATGT